CTGTCTGCGTTCTGCAGCAATGAAAGAGAATGGGGGAAAAAAGGAACTGGTGCAAATATTTCTTTGCTGTATGAATAGCTGCAGATATTTTCACACTGCCCTGTTTGGGGCTATTCCCACACTCAGAGCCACCCACCTGATGCACCTGTTTGCTTTTGACTATAACTGTGGCTAGAGGAGAGAATCACATACACTTGCGGAATGGGGTGCTTCTACTTGGTAGAGGCCATGCACACAACCCTAGCAAGGGATATGTCAGAGACTCAGGCACTGTTCCACCATGTGAGTGATTCCAAATGTGATATCAGGCTCCATCAGATTCCAAAGCCATCGCCTTTCACTTCAGTCACAGACATGCCATCTGTGCCCCTCCCACTGTCATGAAATGTAGTCTCCTGCTAGACCCCATTATTACAATATAAAACCCAGGTAGGACCTAGCTGCTGACTCTTCCCTGAGACTTCCCATTTTCCACCCCACTCCTTTATCTCCCACCTGAAAGTACCTCAAGCAGTTTGTTTTCCCTTCAGTTTCCCTCACACTTCCTGTCTGGCTGCCCCTGGAAATTTTCTTCCACTGTGTTTGCAGGCCTAACCCAAACTACTCCTCTTTGCTGCTAACAATTCCCACAAGCTGCCAGTGTCACTGCTCCCTGGCACACAGTTCCCTGCATGACCCTGGCACATCTGGCCAACCTCCTGTTCTCTTGCTGGTCGCCGAGCTCATAGCCAGATCAAAAACCACCGGTGGAGGATGGGGGAGAGCAGCACCGCATCTGGGGACTTTTCCACCTTGTCTCCCTACTGCCAGAAGCCATTTCAGATCCCTGGACCAGCACCCAAAGAGTTCCCTGAAGGGTAAGAGCCATTTCTCATGCTGGTACCTACCTCTTTACTGTGCGGAGCAGGGTGGAACGAGCTTCATTGTGAAAGGTGATGATGATGCTGGTTGCTGGCAGGTCTGCATCATAGTGCACAGAGGCACATCTGAAACACAGGAGGGCAAACATTCAAACCAGATACAATGCACAGCAGCCCTGTGTGCAAGATGCCAGTGTGCCACATGGGATGGCATCAGAGTACAGCAAGCTCACCAGAGAAGCCTCTGCTGGGAGCTTTGGGGTTAAAAAGGATAATAGGATCAAATTTCAGACACTATTAAAAAGAAAGAGACCCTGATGGTTCTGCAGCCTGACTAATAACACTGGGAATGAGTGGGCTCTAGTGGTTCGAGTAAGGGACTGGTTATTAGGAGTCGTGGATTTGCCACTGACTTGCTGTATGATCTTGAGCAAGTCACTTAAAGTTTGTTTCCCCCTGTGCAGAACTGGGATAATAAGTATCTGTGTCGGAATGTATTCTTGGGTCCACACCCTACACACTACTGTAATGGTCGTTGTATAAGCAGGCATGTAAGACATCATTTGAAAACTCATAATTTCCTGAACATCATTGTCTTGATAAAATATATGTGGCCACAATGTAAGCCAGGCCTGGGGAAAACAAGCCCCACGGGCCGGATCCAGCCAACCAAGCCACCAGATCTGGCCCACAAAGGTAGCGGGGAGCCCCAGATTGCCCCGTAGCCCCATGCACCGTGCAGAAATGAGGCTGCAGGACTCTGTTTCTGTTTTGAAACAAGAGGGAAGGGGGGAAGTTTTAGGAGATGCCCTACCCCCAGCACATTCCCATTGGCAATTTTCTGCCAGAAACTGGCCAATGGGAGTTGCTTGTTGAACTAACAGGCAGCTAAAAAGAATCACACTCCCCCTCCTGGGCTCAGTTATTCATGAAGCACATGGCCAGGAAGGCAGGCTGGTTGGCTGGGAAACATTTTAAGCTCTGCAGGCAGGCAGGCTAGGTTGGCAGCTGATAAATCTCTTGGCCACAGCCTGCTTCTGGCACCCCAGCCCTTTCCTGCCCCAACTCTCTGCCCCCCACTCAACATACCAAATCCTCTGTCCCCCTCTTACACCCATCCCCCCTCCCATATCTGGCTTCCCAATCTCCTGCCCCAGATCACAATCCCCTCCTACCCTAGGTCACATCCCAAACCCCTGCACTCCAGTCCCCTGCCCTAGGTCACAACCGCCTGCCTCATTCCAACTCCCTCCCAGACTCCAATCTCCCTCCTGCACCCCAGTCCCTTACCCCGAGCTCCCTTCTGCACCCAACCCCCATCCCAGACCTCGCATCTCCTCCATTAATACCATGGAACAGTGCAGCACTCGACCACTTTCCAAAATCTTGGAGTGGCGCCCCATCAAAAATTATTGCCCACCCCGATGTAAGCTATAGGATTCCACTGAATGGTGTTATTAACACAAATTCCAAACTAAGGGCTAAGTCTACATTATAAAATTAAGTGGACCTAAATTATGTCAACATACAGCCACGGCAGTAAAAATCACTTTTGCATGTCCACATTAGGCTCCTTGTGTCAGTGGTGCATGTCCTCACGGGGGCTATGTCTATACTGCACTGGTTTTGCGCAAGAAACGTGCAAATGAGGCTAAATAACCCCAAGCCTCATTTGCATAATTAATGAGCAACCGTTTTTTGCGCAAGAGGCTTTTGCACAAAAAGGAGCTGTCTAAATTGCTACTTCTTGTGCAAAATCTCCCTCTTGTGCAAGAGCCGTCCTTCCGCATTTTTTTCAGGAAGAATAGCTCTTGTGCAAGAAGTGGTTTTTGTGCCTCATTTGCACATTTCTTGCACAAAACCACTGCAGTATAGACATAGCCTCAGATTGCTTGTACTAATTTAACCGATAGTGTGGGGCATTGTTGAATGGCTTTTGAAAGGTCGCAACAGTCAATGTAAGTTAATGACCTGGATGAGGGGCTGGATTGCACCCTCAGCAAGTTTGCGGATGACACTAAGCTAGGGGGAGAGGTAGATACGCTTCAGGGCAGAGATGGGGTCCAGAGTGACTTAGACAAATTGGAGGATTAGGCCACAAATCTGATGAGGTTCAACAAGGACAAGTGCAGAGTAGCCAAGAAGGCTAATGGCATATTAGTGTGCATTAGGAGGAGCATTGCCAGCTGATCCAAGGAAGTGATTATTCCCCTTTATTCGCCTCTGGTGAGGCCACATCTGGAGTATTGTGTCCAGTTCTGGGCCCCTCACTACAAAAAGGATGTGGACACATTGGAGAGGGTCCAGTGGAGGGCAACCAAAATGATTACGGGACTGGAGCATATGACCTATGAGGAGAGGCTGAGAGAGTTGGGTCTGTTCAGTCTGAAGAAACGAAGAGTGAGGGGGGATTTGATAGCAGCCTTCAACTTCCTGAAGGGAGGTTCCAAGGAGGATGGGGAAAGGCTGTTCTCAGTAGTGACAGATGGCAGAACAAGGAGCAATGGTCTCAAGTTGTGGTGGGAGAGGACCAGGTTGGAAATTAGGAAAAACTATTTCACTAGGAGAGTGGTGAAGCACTGGAATGGGTTGCCTAGGGAAGTAGTGGAGTCTCCATCCCTCGAGGTGTTTAACTCTCGGCTTGACAAAGCCCTGGCCGGGTTGATTTAGCTGGGATTGGTCCTGCCTAGAGCAGGGGGCTGGACTTGATGACCTTCTGAGATCTCTTCCAGCTCTATGGTTCTATGATCCTATGATAAGCAATGTAATGTCTATACTAACACAGCATCGACCTAATTACATTGACCTAAGCACGACCTCTCTTGCAGAGGTGGATTTATTAAGTCGGTGTAGGGGATGAGTTACATTGGTAGTGACTTCTGCAAGCCCTGATGTCCCAGTAAGAGAAGAACTAGTGCTGCTAATGAATGTCCCATCCCTGCTAAAGGTACCCTCAGCTCAATCTTCCAGATGAGTTGTTTTGGGGTTTTTTTTGCCCAGCCTCTACAGGAGACGATGGCTTTTCCCTGACCTGGGTGCATGCTTCAGGGAGCCTTGGAGTGAGCATTTGATATTTCAGAGAGGGCAGAAGGTTCAGTCTCTGGAAAAATAAACAATGAGCCCACAAAAGCTCGTGATACCATCTACATGTTTCGTTAGTCTATAAAGTGCTACCAGATCATTTGTTGTTTTTTTCTGTGACAGACCAACTCGGCTACCCCCTGAAGCTCCTGGAAAAATAAAGGTAGCAAACCTGTCTGCGTTCTGCAGCAATGAAAGAGAATGGGGGAAAAAAGGAACTGGTGCAAATATTTCTTTGCTGTATGAATAGCTGCAGATATTTTCACACTGCCCTGTTTGGGGCTATTCCCACACTCAGAGCCACCCACCTGATGCACCTGTTTGCTTTTGACTATAACTGTGGCTAGAGGAGAGAATCACATACACTTGCGGAATGGGGTGCTTCTACTTGGTAGAGGCCATGCACACAACCCTAGCAAGGGATATGTCAGAGACTCAGGCACTGTTCCACCATGTGAGTGATTCCAAATGTGATATCAGGCTCCATCAGATTCCAAAGCCATCGCCTTTCACTTCAGTCACAGACATGCCATCTGTGCCCCTCCCACTGTCATGAAATGTAGTCTCCTGCTAGACCCCATTATTACAATATAAAACCCAGGTAGGACCTAGCTGCTGACTCTTCCCTGAGACTTCCCATTTTCCACCCCACTCCTTTATCTCCCACCTGAAAGTACCTCAAGCAGTTTGTTTTCCCTTCAGTTTCCCTCACACTTCCTGTCTGGCTGCCCCTGGAAATTTTCTTCCACTGTGTTTGCAGGCCTAACCCAAACTACTCCTCTTTGCTGCTAACAATTCCCACAAGCTGCCAGTGTCACTGCTCCCTGGCACACAGTTCCCTGCATGACCCTGGCACATCTGGCCAACCTCCTGTTCTCTTGCTGGTCGCCGAGCTCATAGCCAGATCAAAAACCACCGGTGGAGGATGGGGGAGAGCAGCACCGCATCTGGGGACTTTTCCACCTTGTCTCCCTACTGCCAGAAGCCATTTCAGATCCCTGGACCAGCACCCAAAGAGTTCCCTGAAGGGTAAGAGCCATTTCTCATGCTGGTACCTACCTCTTTACTGTGCGGAGCAGGGTGGAACGAGCTTCATTGTGAAAGGTGATGATGATGCTGGTTGCTGGCAGGTCTGCATCATAGTGCACAGAGGCACATCTGAAACACAGGAGGGCAAACATTCAAACCAGATACAATGCACAGCAGCCCTGTGTGCAAGATGCCAGTGTGCCACATGGGATGGCATCAGAGTACAGCAAGCTCACCAGAGAAGCCTCTGCTGGGAGCTTTGGGGTTAAAAAGGATAATAGGATCAAATTTCAGACACTATTAAAAAGAAAGAGACCCTGATGGTTCTGCAGCCTGACTAATAACACTGGGAATGAGTGGGCTCTAGTGGTTCGAGTAAGGGACTGGTTATTAGGAGTCGTGGATTTGCCACTGACTTGCTGTATGATCTTGAGCAAGTCACTTAAAGTTTGTTTCCCCCTGTGCAGAACTGGGATAATAAGTATCTGTGTCGGAATGTATTCTTGGGTCCACACCCTACACACTACTGTAATGGTCGTTGTATAAGCAGGCATGTAAGACATCATTTGAAAACTCATAATTTCCTGAACATCATTGTCTTGATAAAATATATGTGGCCACAATGTAAGCCAGGCCTGGGGAAAACAAGCCCCACGGGCCGGATCCAGCCAACCAAGCCACCAGATCTGGCCCACAAAGGTAGCGGGGAGCCCCAGATTGCCCCGTAGCCCCATGCACCGTGCAGAAATGAGGCTGCAGGACTCTGTTTCTGTTTTGAAACAAGAGGGAAGGGGGGAAGTTTTAGGAGATGCCCTACCCCCAGCACATTCCCATTGGCAATTTTCTGCCAGAAACTGGCCAATGGGAGTTGCTTGTTGAACTAACAGGCAGCTAAAAAGAATCACACTCCCCCTCCTGGGCTCAGTTATTCATGAAGCACATGGCCAGGAAGGCAGGCTGGTTGGCTGGGAAACATTTTAAGCTCTGCAGGCAGGCAGGCTAGGTTGGCAGCTGATAAATCTCTTGGCCACAGCCTGCTTCTGGCACCCCAGCCCTTTCCTGCCCCAACTCTCTGCCCCCCACTCAACATACCAAATCCTCTGTCCCCCTCTTACACCCATCCCCCCTCCCATATCTGGCTTCCCAATCTCCTGCCCCAGATCACAATCCCCTCCTACCCTAGGTCACATCCCAAACCCCTGCACTCCAGTCCCCTGCCCTAGGTCACAACCGCCTGCCTCATTCCAACTCCCTCCCAGACTCCAATCTCCCTCCTGCACCCCAGTCCCTTACCCCGAGCTCCCTTCTGCACCCAACCCCCATCCCAGACCTCGCATCTCCTCCATTAATACCATGGAACAGTGCAGCACTCGACCACTTTCCAAAATCTTGGAGTGGCGCCCCATCAAAAATTATTGCCCACCCCGATGTAAGCTATAGGATTCCACTGAATGGTGTTATTAACACAAATTCCAAACTAAGGGCTAAGTCTACATTATAAAATTAAGTGGACCTAAATTATGTCAACATACAGCCACGGCAGTAAAAATCACTTTTGCATGTCCACATTAGGCTCCTTGTGTCAGTGGTGCATGTCCTCACGGGGGCTATGTCTATACTGCACTGGTTTTGCGCAAGAAACGTGCAAATGAGGCTAAATAACCCCAAGCCTCATTTGCATAATTAATGAGCAACCGTTTTTTGCGCAAGAGGCTTTTGCACAAAAAGGAGCTGTCTAAATTGCTACTTCTTGTGCAAAATCTCCCTCTTGTGCAAGAGCCGTCCTTCCGCATTTTTTTCAGGAAGAATAGCTCTTGTGCAAGAAGTGGTTTTTGTGCCTCATTTGCACATTTCTTGCACAAAACCACTGCAGTATAGACATAGCCTCAGATTGCTTGTACTAATTTAACCGATAGTGTGGGGCATTGTTGAATGGCTTTTGAAAGGTCGCAACAGTCAATGTAAGTTAATGACCTGGATGAGGGGCTGGATTGCACCCTCAGCAAGTTTGCGGATGACACTAAGCTAGGGGGAGAGGTAGATACGCTTCAGGGCAGAGATGGGGTCCAGAGTGACTTAGACAAATTGGAGGATTAGGCCACAAATCTGATGAGGTTCAACAAGGACAAGTGCAGAGTAGCCAAGAAGGCTAATGGCATATTAGTGTGCATTAGGAGGAGCATTGCCAGCTGATCCAAGGAAGTGATTATTCCCCTTTATTCGCCTCTGGTGAGGCCACATCTGGAGTATTGTGTCCAGTTCTGGGCCCCTCACTACAAAAAGGATGTGGACACATTGGAGAGGGTCCAGTGGAGGGCAACCAAAATGATTACGGGACTGGAGCATATGACCTATGAGGAGAGGCTGAGAGAGTTGGGTCTGTTCAGTCTGAAGAAACGAAGAGTGAGGGGGGATTTGATAGCAGCCTTCAACTTCCTGAAGGGAGGTTCCAAGGAGGATGGGGAAAGGCTGTTCTCAGTAGTGACAGATGGCAGAACAAGGAGCAATGGTCTCAAGTTGTGGTGGGAGAGGACCAGGTTGGAAATTAGGAAAAACTATTTCACTAGGAGAGTGGTGAAGCACTGGAATGGGTTGCCTAGGGAAGTAGTGGAGTCTCCATCCCTCGAGGTGTTTAACTCTCGGCTTGACAAAGCCCTGGCCGGGTTGATTTAGCTGGGATTGGTCCTGCCTAGAGCAGGGGGCTGGACTTGATGACCTTCTGAGATCTCTTCCAGCTCTATGGTTCTATGATCCTATGATAAGCAATGTAATGTCTATACTAACACAGCATCGACCTAATTACATTGACCTAAGCACGACCTCTCTTGCAGAGGTGGATTTATTAAGTCGGTGTAGGGGATGAGTTACATTGGTAGTGTAGACTCTTAGGGTATGTCTACACTGCAAAGTTAATTTGAAATAACAGCCGTTATTTTGAATTAACTTTAATAGCGTCTATACATGCAAACCGCTATTTTGAAATTAATTCGAAATAGTGGTTTCGAATTACTTTGAATTTGGTAAACCTTAATTTGGTAAGCGCTTAATTCGAATTTGGTAAACCTCATTCTAAGAGAAGTAACGCCAAATTCGAAATAGCTATTTCAAATTAAGTGTTGTGTAGACACTTAATTCGAAATAGGGGGCCTCCAGCCCTTCCCAGAGGGCCCTGGTGGCCACTCTGGGCACAACCAGGAAAACTTACTCTCCTCTCCCCCAGCCTTGGAGCCATTAAAGGGGTAGACCCTGGCCACAGTGCCTGTGCCAGCTCCAAGCCTGCCAGCCCAAAGCTAGCAGTGGCCACCGGGGCCCCTGATCCAATGGCCCCAAAACATGAGCCAGCAAACCACTGACAGCCAGCCCACCCCACCTCCC